GCAGCTCGCTAGGTGACGTCGTCAGTTGATATTGCTCTCCTCGGTGAATTGGAGTCAGACCGACTTGGATGTCATACATGTAGGCTCGCCAAGACGGTGGTATCGCCCCGTCGTACGGCTACTTAAAGTATTCGCTGGGCAAGATCGCCGTGCCCAAGCTACTCGAAGGCCGTCATGATATGACGATGCGAACAGCTGGGATTGAGCCAGAGATGGAGATTGCGCGACCGGAGAAGTTCACCGACGAGATTGTGGAGACATCGGATGAGGACGACGCCGAGCTCAGGGGGTAATTTCACGCTGCTCACCTGCCGGCTTTCATATTCATCTCGAGGTGCTTGTTGCTGATGGTGCAAGTGGCACTAAAACCATGTCGGTTACGTATGGTCGTTGTCTTCCAAGCCTGGCAATTCACTTATGAGAGCGTACAAGGTGACAAGCAACCTCTAAATCATGGAGCAGTGGCTGACCAACATTAGCATGGGCGAGCATGAGTCGGCTACTGAGTACTACGGTCGGGCTCGGCGCACTCTAGCCGACTTGCGAATGGCCGGGGTCGAGTACTTGCTATTGTCATACATCTCGCACATCCTCAAAAGACTTCCCCTGGGCTACAACTTGATGCCGTGTGTGAGCAACTCAACGATGACTCTTGGCGAGCTTCATAATTGAAGACGATTCATGCACTTGTCAGAGTGCCCAAGGAGCAACTCCTTCCGCAGGCCAACTACGCCCCCCCAATGCAGCAGGGGCAGCGTTTTCAAGTGCAGTGTGGGAAGTCGGGAAGAGGCGGTGGCTGGGGCGGAAAGTCGGCGAGCAACAAGTCAACGAGCGACGCCAACCACGCGAAGTCAAGCAAGGACAACAATTGCGGTGGCGGCGGCAGACACCACCGCTATGTCTGTGGAGACGAGGTGCACTTTCCGTATGACTGCCCCCACTTTCTACTTCCCCCAAAAGACTGGCCCCACTAACTACTTCCCCCAACATGTATCACATTGTGGAACATTTTTACCATTGCTGTATGTGAAAGGTGAGATCATGCTCGTGAGGGTTGTTTGTGTGCGTTTACAATTGCGTCTGTTTTTGGAGAAGCATGGTAGGTCCGTGGAGCACTTGTAGCGCGTGAAGGAAGAGTCGGTGCACGCTCGCTAACTTTCTGCACCTCCTCCTCTTCTTCCTCTGCATCCTTTGGCCTCCTCTCCCCCATTCACAAGGGAAGATTGCCTTGTAGTGGTGCTGCCGCTGCTCAGCTCCAAAGGCAGCTCCACATGCTCCAAGTCGGAACTCTTCACCTCCCCACGTGTGCACGCTTGGCGTCCGCTTATTCGTGAGCGACCAGTCAGTTTGGGACATTTTCGTATAGCTGGGCCCGACCTATCACACTCGAAGGCCCCGTCGTGCTGCGATCCCTTTCACGAATTGATCAAACCCTTTTGACTGGAAAGCCCCTGAGAACGACCCTGCAAAAGAGAGTACGACTGCGCTTACACTAATCAGCGTTTCATAACGTTACTTTGCTGAGGTGTCGGATGCTGCTTCAGCCGAAAAAGCACTTCAATCACCCTTTCTGCAGCATCGTACATTGTCGTACAGTCTAGCTCCGCGTCGCACACCATCACACGTGAAGTCGCAGCACGCCGTCCAGACGACGAGATATTTGTGCGATTGGCGGGGGAACAGAAGCGAAGCAATTTTGTTGCTATTCGCGCCGGAGTCAGTTCTGTACTTGCTCCTTTCGCAAGAAACATCGTCTATATTTGGCGCCGCTATTCCGCATGACCATCCGTGAAATTTGCCGTAGCATTTTCTCTGCGCGACCTGCGGTAAGAGGCATGCGCATGAGCTGCTTATACACAAATGGACGACCTGCATTGCCATAACATCGGACAGTGGATAATGCGTGTAGAATAGAGGCCGTTTTTCTCCAGTCGCACCGCGCCGTATGTGGATAAGAGTTCCGTCAAGTAGGTTTGCGCCTTCTAGCCACCATTCCCATTATTTTTTCCTTCACTGCGCGCCGTCCAAATTGCTTCGAATACCGTTACGCTGCCATTCCTATTGGCCTTCTCTATTTTCACGTACTTTGCAAACCGTCAACCATTTCATAAGGAGGCCGTCGAAACCTATTTTAAGAAGCGGGGACCCCTTTCGGAAGGTACTCCAACAAGTAAGTCGAGCGCAGGTGCCCATTTGGAAGCGCAGGTGTCAACTTGGAATCGCAGGTGCCAACTTGGAAGCGCAGGTGTCAAGGTGCGTGTTTTGGCTAACTTGAATTCAATCCATCGCCGCATGTTGCGATTGATTCTCGCCCGCGTTCCACAGCATTGCTGCTTCTGGGGTTTGATATGTTAGAATATATCTGTAACTGCCTGTAGCTGTAGTTAGTGTAGTTATTATAAACTGTTGGTGGTGCACCTTCTTTGCATGCTTTGTTTACTACTTGTACCTCGCTCAATAGTGAATTCTTCCTCTTTGGCTAAACTCTCTCGACATATGTCTCTCTCAAGTCTCCTCCTACCCCAAACCCTAGTGTTCACTTAATCTACTATTCTAACATGGTATTAAGAGCTAGGTCGTCCTAAGACCTATTTTTTTTCCCCCATGGGCCCACCACGTATCCCCCCGCTCATGGCGCTCGTCACGCCCCCCGTCGCGGCCGTAGTTACGACGGTTGCAACGGTCGCGACCATCAAAACGGTCTCAAAGCTAGCTGCGCGACGGCGTCAGATGCGGTCTCGTTTCGTCTCCCCGTCGCGCCCGTTGCGCCCTGCTCGTCGCGCGCATCGCCTGCCCCGCCCCGTTCTGTCACGAACACAGCAGCAGCCGCGCGCAGCTGCGTACGGCCGCGCATTGCTGCGCGCAGCTTCGTACGACCGTGTGCACCCGCGCACGGTCGTGTGCGCCAGCACCAGCGCCCGTCGCCAGCACCTGCGCGAGCGCCAGCGACGACGCCAGCGCCAGCAGCAGCTAACGGCGCCCCACTCTTCCCTTCCGCAGCTTCCGCCGTGGGGGGGGGGGGGATGTGGGGGTGGCGGGTGTGAGTTGCCTGCAGCCCGTCCTTCCCCTCCCTTCAGCGGGGCCCGCCGTGAGGGGGGGAAGAGGTTGCGGGGGGAGGGTGAGGGGAATGGGGGAGATTGTGAGGGAGTGGAGAGAGAGATTCTGCCAAGCCAGCAGCCGCCCCTCCTCCTCTCTCTCTCACTGCCGCGTGTGCTGCCGTGGGGGGGAGGGTGAGACGGTAGCGGAAGTCAGCTAGGCATCTGCAGCTGCCGCCCGCTGCTACCGTGGCACCTTCTGCTGCCGCCCCTGCCTCCACCTGCTGTTTCTTCTGCTGTCTTCTGCTGTTGAGCGGCAGGTGCTGCCGTTGAGCCCTGCTGTGCCGCCGCACGGTGCCGCCGCACGCACACGCTTTCCAGGCGACCTGCCGCCACATGCACCTTTGTCTGTTGCTTCTACCTTGGCTGAGGGGTTGGTGTAGCTGAATCTGCCACCACTGCACCGGTTGCCACTGGTCTTGCCTGCTGATGCTGTTTCCTCTGTTCGTGGTGTACCCATGCAGGATGTGTTGCTGCACAAACTCCTGCTGCAGGCAGTTATGGGGGAGTGTTAGAATATATCTGTAACTGCCTGTAGCTGTAGTTAGTGTAGTTATTATAAACTGTTGGTGGTGCACCTTCTTTGCATGCTTTGTTTACTACTTGTACCTCGCTCAATAGTGAATTCTTCCTCTTTGGCTAAACTCTCTCGACATATGTCTCTCTCAAGTCTCCTCCTACCCCAAACCCTAGTGTTCACTTAATCTACTATTCTAACATGATACGCTGCTGGTAACCCGCCGTGCGAGCAGTAACCGCGGGTCACCATGTCGTGAGCATCGTCCCACCATCACCCCGACGTTCTGCCTCCGTCATTATGTCCTTGATGTTTGTTTATCCTCGCTATTTGGAAAGTCTAGAAGAACCAACTTGTCTCATTTTGTCCTTGCCACATCACCTGCCGTTTCGGTTTCCGAGGCGCCTAAAAATCCGTTCCGCCTCCGTCATTCTTCCCTGTTTCACCACGTGCATTCTCTCGTGCTCCTCTCCCCTACCGCGTCTCTCGCAGCTATCAGTTCGTTCGACCCGCGTGCTCGCGCGCGGCTCGCACGCGTTCCCTGCGGCCGCCTTAAGTCGTTCCCCGCCCTCCCCTCTCCGCTCCCCTCAGCCCCGGCCCCCTTATCTTTTCCGCCCTCCCCCTCCCCCACCGAGGTCCCCTCCCTTTCCCCCAAATCCATGCGCGCAGCATCCCACCATGAAGGGATTCGAGCTGCTGGGGCTGGGCGCGCAGGACAGTGTGCAGACGCGCGAGTGGGGGAGGTTCGCTCTTCCCCAACCCCCTTTCTTTCCCCCCACCTTCCCCCCCCCCCTCCTCTGCGCGCAGCCATGAAGGCATTCGAGCTGCTGGGGCTGGGGCTGGGCATTCATTGCCTCCCTCTCTTTCCCTCTCTCTCCCTCTCTCTCCCTCTCTACATACCCAATGGGTTTCTCATCTCGTTCTCTCTCCTTCTCCCCTGCCCTAACCTTCTCTTTAAAGCCCGAGTTCCACATGGCTGTTTTCAAATTCAAGATTCTTGAATATGAACTCGCCAAAAACCAGGTTACCACCCGAAGTAAAGCATTCCGTTGCTTCACAGAGGTTTCACAACTAAGATGCATGATTGGCCAGCGACAAAACAAGTCTTCCGGGTGAAGTGTCAATGGGAGATGGAGCACTGCCCACATTCAGTAAACTTGAAAACCAAGTTGTACTAATGGGCAGCCATATTCAGGCAATACACGTAGTCTACTCCGCTGTTCAGGACCACAAGAGCGCGTGAGATCTCATTTGCGTGCGTGGCAGCGAGCTGTCTGTATCCTTGCAGCAGCCTGTTTGTTGTTCTCCAAAAAAAAAAAAAAAAAAAAAAAAAAAAAAAGCCAGCATAAAGAAAAACGTCATGCGTCACGCCCATTTCTGTAGGGACGATGGCGCTCACATGTACGTTCGAAGCGCAAGGATCGGGCGCTTCCCTCACATGTACGTTCGACGCACCCGCTTTCGCCCGTCGCACTCCCTTCCGCATGCCGGCACTCCCTTCCGCCTGTCGCACTCCCTTACGCCCATCGCCCTCCCTCCCGCCGTCGTCCTACCTTATGCCCGTCGCCCTCCCTAGCTCCCGTCGCACTCCCTTCCGCCATTGCCCTCCCTTCCGCCCGTCGCCAGTCGCCATGCCTTCCGCCCGTCGCCCTCCCTTCCGCCCGTCGCCCTCCCTTCCGCCCGTCGCCCTCTCTTCTGCCCGTCACCCTCCCTTCGTCTCGTCACCCTCCCTTCCTCCCATTGCCCTCCCGACCACCCGCCGCCCTACCTTCCCCTCGTCGCGCTCCCTTCCGCCCGTTGCCCCCCTTTGTCACGCCGCGCTCCCTGCTGCTCATCGCCCTCCCGCTCTTCCCCTCGCAATCCCCGTATCTCTCTCCCCTCATCGCCCGTCACTGTCGCCATCCCTCCCTTCTCCCTTCCCAACTCGTTTGGACCAGTCACGCCCCCTTTCCAACCCGCACACACCCGTTCCTTCCCCCAATGATCACCTTTCACCACCACACTGCTTACCTCTCTCATTCCCCACATCATTTCCGGGCTCCCCACCGTTCTTCGGATAGCTCTCTCCCCGGCATCTCCCCCACTCCCCTCGTCCTGCTTCCCCCCATCCTCTTCACTGTTTCCCCTGGGTTTCCCGCGCTGCTTCCCCCCATCCCCTTCCCTGCTTTCCCACATCCCCTTTCCTGCTTTCCCCCATCCCCTTCCCTTCTCCCCCCCATCCCGTTCCCTGCTTCCCCATGTCCCCTTACCTGCTTCCCCCCATCCCCTTCCCTTCTTCCCCCCATCCTTTACCTGCTTCCCCCCATCTCCTTCCCTACTTCCTCCCATCCCTTCCCTTCTTCCCCCCATCCCTTTACCTGCTTCCCCCCATCCCCTTCCTTGCTTCCCCCCATCCCCTTCCCTGTTTTTCCCCATCCCCTTCCCTGCTTTCCCCCATCCCCTTCCCTTCTTCCACCCGTCCCCCTCCGTGCTTCTCCCCATCCCCTTCCCTTCTTCCCCCCATCCCCTTCCCTGCTTCCCCATGTTCCCTTCCCTGCTTCCCCCCATCCCCTTCCCTTCTTCCCCCCATACCTTTACCTGCTTCCCCCCATCTCCTTCCCTGCTTCCTCCCATCCCTTCCCTTCTTCCCCCAATCCCTTTACCTGCTTCCCCCCATCCCCTTCCCTGCTTCCCCCCATCCCCTTCCTTGCTTCCCCCCATCCCCTTCCCTGCTTCCCCCCATCCCCTTCCCTTCTTCCCCCCATCCCCTTCCCTGCTTCTCCCCATCCCCTTCCCTTCTTCCCCCCATCCCCTTCCCTGCTTCACCCCATCCCCTTCCCTTCTTCCCCCCATCCCCTTCCCTGCTTCCCCATGTTCCCTTCCCTGCTTCCCCCCATCCCCTTCCCTTCTTCCCCCCATACCTTTACCTGCTTCCCCCCATCTCCTTCCCTGCTTCCTCCCATCCCTTCCCTTCTTCCCCCCATCCCTTTACCTGCTTCCCCCCATCCCTTTCCCTGCTTCCCCCCATCCCCTTCCCTGCTTCCCCCCATCTCCTTCTTTGCTTCCCCCCATCCCCTTCCCTGCTTCCCCGTGTCCCCGTCCCTGCTTCCCCCCATCCCCTTCCCTTCTTCCCCCCATCCCCTTCCCTGCTTCCCCCCATCCCCTTCCCTGCTTCCCCATGTCCCCTTCCCTGCTTCCCCCCATCCCCTTCCCTGCGTCCCAACATCCCTTTCCCTGCTTCCCCCCATCCCCTTCCCTGCTTCCCCCCATCCCTTTCCCTGCTTTCCCCCATCCCCTTCCCTGCTTTCCAATGTCCCTTTCTCTGCTTCCCCCCATCCCCTTCCCTTCTTCCCCCCATCCCTTTACCTGCTTCCCCGTGTCCCCTTCCCTGCTTCCCCGTGTCCCCTTCCCTGCTTCCCCCCATCCCCTTCCCTTCTTTCCCATGTCCCTTTCCCTGCTTCCCCCTATCCCCTTCCCTGCTTTCCCATGTCCCTTTCCTTGCTTCCCCCCATCCCCTTCCCTGCTTCCCCCCATCCCGTTCCCTTCTTCCCACCATCCCTTTACCTGCTTCCCCCCATCTCCTTCCCTGCTTCCTCCCATCCCCTTCCCTTCTTCCCCCCATCCCTTTATCTGCTTCCCCCCATCCCCTTCCCTGCTTCCCCCCATCCCCTTCCCTGCTTCCCCATTTCCCTTTCCCTGCTTCCCCCATCCCCTTCCCTGCTTTCCCATGTCCCTTTCCCTGCTTCCCCCCACCCCCTTCCCTTCTTCCCCCATCCCTTTACCTGCTTCCCCGTGTCCCCTTCCCTGCTTCCCCGTGTCCCTTTCCCTGCTTCCCCCCACCCCCTTCCCTGATTCCCCATTTCCCTTTCCCTGATTCCCCCCATCCCCTTCCCTGCTTCCCCCCCATCCCCTTCCCTGCTTCACCATGTCCCTTTCCCTGCTTCCCCCCATCCCCTTCCCTGCTTACCTATGTCCCTTTCCCTGCTTCCCCCCATCCCCTTCCCTTCTTCCCCCCATCCCTTTCCCTGCTTGCCCCCATCCCCTTCCCTTCTTCCCCCCATCCCTTTCCCTCCTTCCCCCCATCCCCTTCCCTGCTTCCACCCATCCCTTTCCTTGCTTCCCCCGATTCCCTTCCCTGCTTCCCCATGTCCCTTTCCCTGCTACCCCCATCCCCTTCCCTGCGTCCCCCCATCCCTTTCCTTGCTTCCCCCAATCCCCTTCCCTGCTTCCCCCTATCCCCCCTGCTTGCCCCCATCCCCTTCCCTGCTTCCCCCCATCCCCTTCCCTTCTTCCCCCCATCCCTTTACCTGCTTTCCGGTGTCCCCTTCCCTGCTTCCCTGTGTCCCCTTCCCTGCTTCCCCATGTCCCTTTCCCTGCTTCCCCCCATCCCCTTCCCTGCTTTCCCATGTCCCTTTCCCTGCTTCCCCGTGTCCCCTTCCCTGCTTCCCCGTGTCCCCTTCCATGGCACTCACACGCACCACTTGTCTGCTCTTCATATTCTCCCTCAGATTCCTCCTCACATGTCTTGTGGAACCCTGGTCAGCACTTTGCCTGACTACATGTCTGCCGGCGTTTGATCAGTGTGCGTGTCTTTCTGCCTACGTGCATGCCTGCGTGCGTGCATGCGTTGATAGTATTTGTGTGCGTGTGCGTGTGCACGTCCACCCAAGACCTGATGCCATTCATCGACCGTGACCCTGTGGGAGGCGCACCATGTGCTGGTGGGGAGGTGTGGCCGCCCAAGAAGCTCCGTGACGTGCCCACAGAGGGAAAGTAGGAGCGGGGGTGGGGGCAGTGGGGATCTGCGAGGAGGACGAGGAGGAGCAGCCACGCCTAGCGCTGGCGGCTTCCATGGAGGGGCATACAGAGGAAGAGGGGGCCGAGGCGGGAAGGTGGGCAAGGTGGGGAGCAAGGTGGGGACATGGGCCCATGCAGGGCAGCAGGGACGACGCCTCTCGTGCGGCAGAGGGTCAGGAGCAACAAGGGGCGTGGGCAGGAGGGGCAGCGGAGGAGGAGGTTGAGTTACCAGAGGAGCCCGTAGTGCGCATTCCAGCCATTTGTCGCATTGCCATTCGTTGCCCGGATGGCACTCGGCTGGAGTGTCGGTTCCGGGCCCAGGCACTCTCTCCATGTGCTGTCCCCATCCTTCAAAACAGCCTGCTTGCCACCCATCCCACGCCTGTGCACAGTCCTTCCTGCCATGCTCATTCCCTTGCTCTCCCACTCACTCCCTTGTTCTCCCACGCCCCACTCCCCAGTCCCCCAGATGCTGGGAAGCAGATCTACGACTGGACCCGTCCCGAGGTGAGCCAGCGTAACTCCTGTGCAGCCATGGCTGTGGCGTAGATCTCAGCCTCACAACTGGAGCTGAGAACTGAAGACGAGCGTGTAGAATGCCAAGAAACTGAACCAGAGCCAAGGCTGAATGTGTAACCCTGTGACGACCGCTGGGTAGCCTGGTCGTCAACCCAAGAAGCGTCTGAGTGCCCAGTGAGGACAACTGGGCTCTTCCCTCCAAGCACTAGCCCCATGCCTGATGTGCTGCACAAGTAGCGCAGTACCCTCTTAGCGGCGGCCATGTGCTCAGGTCGGTGCCGACCAGGAGCCACGTAGCGAGCCAGCAGACCAAGAGGGTACGCGAGGTCAGGACGAGTGCAAGTCATCAGGTACATGAGGCAGCCAACTAGCTCTGGGTAAGGACCACTCGGCTCTACGGACTCGTCCGAAGGTGGAGCTGAGAGCGAGTGACCTGTAGCCAGAGGAGTGGCCTGTGCCGAGGACCAGGTGAAGCCGAAGCGCTGAAGGACCTGCTGCACCATGTGTGACTGAGTCAGTGTGATGGTGCGGCGTGCTCTGTCCCGGGTGATCTGCAAGCCAAGGTAGCTGCGCAGTTCACCCAGGTCTGTGCACGTGTGTCTCTTCTGCAACTCCGACTTCACGTGGGCGAGAGCCTCAGTGTCAGCAGTGGCAAAGACCAAGTCGTCGACGTACACGAGGATGTAGAACGGCGGCAGCGAGGTGTCGGTGCGCAGAAACAGCGACGGGTCAGCAGTAGAAGGCGCGAACCCAAGAGCCGCAAGTGTAGTCCTCAGTGTGTCGTGCCACTCACGTGGCGCCTGGCGGAGACCGTAGACCGGCCGCCGGAGGCTCCACTGGGTACCAGGAGGAAACGACCCAGTGAAGCCAGGAGGGCGGCGCAGCCAGATCTCCTCGTGCAGGCTGCCCTGCAAGAAAGTTGTGCTGAAGCCAAGAGAGTGAAGCTCGTAGTCACGCTGAGCGGCAACGTGCAGCAGCACCCGAAGAGTGGTCATCTTCGGGGTGGGGGAGAAGGTCTGGAAGAAGTCTACTCCCTCTCGCTGACTGAAGCCTCGAGCAACGTACCGAGCCTTGAAGACAGGCGGAGAACCTGGCGGCCGCTTCACCCTGAAAATCCACATGCCACTGACGATGTTCGCCCCAGGAGGGGGAACCTCGTCGACGTAAGTGCCAGTGGACTTCCAGGATCCCATCTCTGCGTCCATGGCTGACTGCCACTGAGAGGAGTACTCACCCGCGATCGCCTCAGCGTAAGAGCGCGGGGTCGGGATGTCTGGAGCATCCGGGTCTCCCTCAGGGGCAAGCAGCATGGCCACAAGATGAGGTACAGCAGCAGCAAAGCACTCAAACTCCCCCTGCCTGTCCTCAAGGACGTCCGTGCCAAGAGCACACTCACCCCCGACGGACGGAGGACAGACAGACTCAGACTCAGCAACAAGACTGGCAGCGTAGTCTAGACGACAGTGAGCAGCAAAGTCAACAAGCTCAGCAACTAAGGCAGACGCAGCAGCTGACTCAAAGGAAGGGTCAGTGACAGCAGTGGCCAGGAGACGCGTGACAGTAGGACTAGCAGCACGAAGAGTGTCAGACTCCGGGTCAGCAAGGGCAGGAAGGGAGGACGCAGGAGGAGAAGGAAGAGGGACACGCTGTGGAGCAGTGGAAGGACGAAGCGTCATCTGGTGAGTGCCTGGGACAGCAGGAGGACGCTGACGCGGGACACGACGACCAGTGCGAGCAGCACGAGCAGGTGACGCAGAACGAGACTCAGGCGACACAGGACGAGACTCAGGCTCACGACGCTCTGTAAGACCTCCTGTCGGACCAGTGTAGGGAGAAGGACCAGGGAGTGGCGAGGCAGGCGGTAACTGTGACTGCGACTGGACAGGTGGAGGACACTCTAAGGAGGGAGCAGGACAAGGAGGAGGCGGCTGACCAAGAACCTGCTGAAGGAGGGGAACGAAGTACGGCCGCGGCCAAGTAGTGCCCCCAGAACCAGCAGAGACAGCACCAGAACCTCCAGCAGCAGCTCCAACTCCTGCAGCACCACCAGCAGCACCAGCAGCGCCAACTCCAGTACCCCCAGCAGCACCAGCTCCAGCCGCACCGTCGGCTCCAGCACCAGGAGGAGGACGAGTGTCAGCACCTCCAGCTCCAGCCCTTGCAGCACCACCAGCCGCAGTACCAGTAGTCCCTCCAGCAGCTCCAGTAGCACCCCCATTCCCAGCAGCTCCAGTACCGCCAGTACGAGCACCTCCAGGACCAGTGGCTCCAGCACCTCCAGCGCCAACACCAGGGTCAGCGACGACACCAGCTCCAGTAGGCCCAGCGGCCTCAGCTCCAGCTCCTGCAGCACCTCCAGCGCCCACAGCACCACGGCGGCGGCGACAGTACCGAGAGTACCACTCACGCAGCTGCTGGGAAGAGAGAGCGCCCCCAGGCGCAGCACCCCCAGGCTCAGGACCTCCAGGCTCAGTACCCCCAGGCTCAGCACCAGCAGTCTCCGCACCCCCAGGCTCAGCACCCCCAGTCTCCGCACCCCCAGGCTCAGCACCCCCAGTCTCAGCACCCCCAGGCTCAGCGCCCCCAGTCTCCGCACCCCAAGGCTCAGCACCCCCAGTCTCAGCACCCCCAGACCCAGCACCACCAGGCTCAGCACGCTCAGTACCTCGCGCAGGACCAGAGTCAACAGCTACCTCGACAGGCTCGACCGGGTCTACCTGGGAAACACCTGAGGGAGCAGGACCCTGGGGAGGCGGGGGGTCTACCAAAGCAGCACCTGGCGTGAGGAAGAGCGGCGGGGGGGGGAGCGGGGCAGTGCGGTAGGGGAAGAGACGGTAGAAGGGGACCGACTCGTCAAACGTGACGTCCTGAGAGGCGAAGACACGGCGCGAGGTGGGGTGGTAAAACTGCCAGCCAGGCGCGTCAGGGAAAAAGCCAAGGAAGACACAGGGAACAGCGCGGGCGGAGAGCTTGTCCGCGGACGTATCGCGGACAAAGGCACGAGATCCCCAGACCCGGAACACCGACGCATCGCCAACCTCTCCCGTCCAACGTAGTGTCGGCGAGGTCTCCGGAACGGAGACACGGGGCCAGAGGTTGAGCTGATGCGCGGCGTAGCGGACCGCAAACAGCCACAGAAAATGGGGGGCAGCCGCATGGACCAAGGAGGTACGAGCGACCTCCATGACCAAGCCAATGCGGCGCTCAGCAACCCCATTCTGCTGAGGAGAGGCTGGAAGCGTGAACGTCTGGCGAATGCCCTCCCCCTGACAGAAGGTCTCCAAGAGACCGGAGGAAAACTCACCACCTCTGTCAGAGTGCAGTCGCAGGACGGGAAGGTCCGTGCAAAAGCGCCTCTCCAGCTGGAGACGGGTAGCGCAGATCCAAGGGATCAAAACAGCAGGGACCTCTCCCTTGGTGCGCAAGGGGAAGACCGTGGTGTAACGCGTGTAGTCGTCAACTACCAGCATGAAGTAGCGCTCTGCTCCCTGTCCACGGACGCGGGCTGGGCCCCACACGTCCATGTGAAGGGTCTGCAGAGGGGCCTCCGTCGGGGGAAACTCAGAGGAGTGAGGGGTGGCACGCTGCCGACCCTTGACACAGGGAAGGCAGGGAGGGGCAGGGGACGGTGGCAGGGGAGGCAGTGACCTGGGGAGACCAGAGACAAGGTAACGGGAGTGCATGCCACGAAGGCGCTGCATCGAAGGGTGCCCAAGGCGGTGGTGCCAGAGGACCGTCCGGTGCGACAGGGTGCGACACGAGCAGGGGGCGGACAAGTGACCTGACGCAGACGCAGACGCCGCTACCTAAGGGGACTCAGTGGTCAGTGTGTACAAGTCCGACCCCGGCTGCCGAGTGAAGGTAGCCAGGTGACGACCCGTCTGGGCACACGTGCAGTGTGTCACACGCTCGTAGGCAGGGGTGAACTGGTGAACACCCTCATCCTGGAGCGCGGAACCCGCCACCAAGTTCGTAGAGAACGAGGGGAGGTAGAGGCCCGACAGGGTGCCGGGCAGTGGTGGAGGTCGCAAGGACCGGACCCCCGGAGGGGTCAGCCAGGGAGACAGCAACCGGCCTAGGGAGCTGCTCGAGGGCAGTGCGGTCGCGAAAGAAACAGCAGGAAGCACCTGAGTCCAGTGTGAAGGTGTGTAGTGCCTCAGTAGACGCAGTATCTGAAGGCGCAGACTCACAGGCACCTGAAGCAGCAGACACACCTGCACCTAGAGCAGCAGCCTCACCAGGACCTGGGGCAGCAGACACACTAGCACCTAGAGCGGCAGCCTCACTGGTCGCAATGCCTGGGTCTGGTGGCACACACAAGTAACAGTCACCCTCAACACTAATAGTCAATGCATACATGGCTCCAAGGATAACATCAAAGTCAAGCGCAAAGACATCAATGTTCTTTTTAAGCAGATCAGCCCAGCGGGGCAGCTCAGAGGCCTCAGGGAACTGTGCACGCCAGGCGTCGTCGAGACGGAAGAAGCAGCGCTGTGGCGTGTGGAACCTCCCACACGTCTGGCCAGCGCGGTCACCTGTGCGAATGACATACGTGCAGGTACCCCCGCCCCCAGACCCCCCATGCTGAGAGTACCACTCACGAATCTGCTGGGACGACGGGGTCTCTCCAAGACGCTGCTGCTGGCGCTGGACACCACCCGAACCTCCACGCTGCGCCGGTCCACCCCGACCACCACCCGAGCCGCCGCCCCCACGCCCACTGCCTCCACCACCACCACCTCCACCCCGGCCTCCTCCACCACCACTGCTGCCACTACCCCCGCCGCTGCCACTCACCCCCCCAGCCCCGCCACCACCCCCACCACCGCCACCACCCCAACCGCCCCCACCGCCGCCACCTCCACCTCCACCTCCCCCGCTGGCACCACCACCACCCTTGCCCCCCTTGCCCTTGCCGCCCTTGCGCCTCCAGCTAGGAGCAGACGCAGCCCCGACGTCCTCAACACCAAGGAAGTCGACAGCGGCAGCAGAGGCAACCGAGGGGAGAAGGGGGGGAGGGGAACACCCGT